CATCAGGTTGTGGGGCTTGAGGAGTCTGGCTGTCTTTTCCGATACGTTTTTGAGGTACTGCAAGACGATGCTTTTCGCCTTTTGTTGGTGTAGGTTTGGTAATTGTACTCCTTCGGTTTATGTGTTTCCGGATGAAACTACGTGGGTAGCCGTTGCGATTGCAAGACATAAATAGATCTTCCTCTTCCTTTCGGTTCGCCTCCGCAGTATTGAAATGCGATTCCATCCTACTAAACAGGGTCCGTATACTGCTAACTTTGTGACACTTAGGGTGATTGCTGTTGAAGGTGCTGGTTACCAGAACAGTGGAAGGCGAATTACAAACATCAGTTTACAGAAAAGCAACACTTATCGACAAAATCCTAAACTTCATTGAGGAAGGAATCAACGTTAACTGGGACTACACAAAAATCCTGGCGCACGCAAGGACAAGAAAAGGTAAATAATTCCTCGAAGCATGGTTTTCTACGGTGAATTCAGTGAACCTCTGCATTGACCTCGATCCTGTAGAACTATAGCTGAGAAAGTTTGAAACTAGGCAGCCAAAATCGCACAGACAGAGGGCATGGGACACAGATCGACGATGCCAATTTCAAACGCTACATTCCGATGACACTTTCCTTGAGATTTTCCTCAACGGAGCAGTGCACTGAACATACTACTGAGGGAAGTGGTGAAATGTTTGTTACTAAATTACGCAGCTCGGAGAACCAATCAAAACGTTAAAACTAGAGTTTTATGCCTGGAGTAGAAACATGTATCGGATTTTCACAATCCCTGGACTAGTCTGGCGGAAAAGCAAGAAGTGCTTATTTAATACTTATCTCGCTACGCCTTGTGGTTTGCCGTATCTGATTCCTGACTTGCCTGTTACTTTGACTGTGAACATCCACAGTTCGCCCTCGCCTACAAAGAGGGACCATGGGCGGCTTACGCTGCGTCACCCACAGATCCAGTCACATTGATCCAGTGTAAACCCGATAGAATAAGACTGGGCGACATGTGGGTCTGACACACCAACCATCAGCACGCACGGCATTCAATTGAACATGGTTGAAGATCCATACCAGACGTACAGATGGTAGTGGCTGGGCCCTAACCAGCTCCACATTGAATGCATGGAACCGCTTTTTGAGCCTGGCACGGTCACGAGGACTTTGCACTCCGTCTTCCCAAACAACGACTTGTGATGCACTAAAGGCAGACATTACAGCACCAGTCATTGGTAGCATGGAAAGGTCAGGAGGCGAAACGGTAACCAGCCAACAGCAGACGATAATGAATTCCCCAAAGGAGAGGAACCGTTTAGCACCGCAGTTGTATGCACGTGAGGCATGTGTGCACAAGCAATGTAGACCAAACAACCCTTGAACACAAAAGGAAACGTCCACCATGCAAATTGCAGCAAGACTAGCCAAAATGATTGGAGGTCTTGTTTGTCAGAACAGATGCACTTAGTATTAGCTATGTTGACACGATAAATTCCATTATATCTCGGGTTCTTACAGCTGGAATATTTCCTGGAGTCAAAAATCAAGGTGCCATTTTTCCATATGTACGCACCTTGCTAACATTGCTACCGAACAGAGCTGAACCGTGATATCAACAAGTAAACACATGAAAGCTGAGAAGCAAACACACGGACACAGGTACAGACCAAATGCAGTGAGATTGTACCACACATCCCAGGGTTATTAAGTTATATTATCTGTAGCGTACTTACCAATCACTGATGCTTACCTATTCGACTTAATCGTCTCCTCTGAAATAATAGCCCCTGTTGCTTACGTTAATTGGTTTTCAGACGGACTTGCATGAGGCGCTAATGTGTTTGACGCCCACGGGTTAGACTTCATCGATTCTTGTTGCTTGCAAAAACGGAAGTATCTCTTACTGATGCAACATTCATTTCTGGTGCACCACTATCACGGCATTTTTGATGTAATCACACCGTTCACGGCGATCCTCTGTCATTCCATTCCAACACTGAATTCAAAATAGCTTCATAATCAACTCACTTTGCTCAAGTTCTGGTAACGTAGTTTCGTTTAGCCCGTGTTCCGCTTCCTCCTACTAATTCGGTCTTCTAGTCGAGTTTATTGTCTTCGTACACAATGTGTGCGTTTGTGCACGCGTAGAAAAGTTTATTTTCAAATTGTGCGCCCAAATGTTTACATACTCTCATTTGCAGAATTGACTATAAACGCTTAACATTTTTGTTCCTTATGTTAAGAAATTTATGGCATCACTGTCAAAATATAGAATAAATATTTTAGATCAGAATTCTTGTTTGTGTATGAAGGCGCTATACGATGGTCATGTCCGGAATACCTCAGGTGTCGCGGTAACAGCATACAAGTCATGCTGGTTCAGCGGAACATCTTGTGTCAGGGTTTCTGTCACCTATAAGTTGCGCAGAACCCCAGGCAAGGATTGATGGTGAAATCCTTCCAGAACGCGGATGCTCTTCTTGTAGTCTTTATGTTTCGCTGCAGCAAAGGACCGTCACCAGCAACCTTGATTTATACGCCGACAGCTTGGTACCAAATGTCCACTGATGGTTCCTCCACCTGATACCTTCACTACGCGGGTGTGCAGCGAATGGGTAAATTGCTGGTCTGTTGACAACGTGCTCCCTAGGTAGCATCCTGATCTAAAAGTTGATGATGTCAAACGACCCCAAATGGGACTATGATAAGCGTTACAGTACACCACAGATGTTTTAGATCCCAGCACCGAATATAAAACCGAAACATTGGCCTGCCGCTCATTGGAAACTGCAATATGGAACCGGGTTATCAGTTACTTTTAGACTACGCTTCTGCGTGGTCAAAGGTAAATCTACTTCCACTTAACAAGACAAGTGCAAAACCGTGCATGTCCGCCACGAGCCCACGTGCACATATAAGCTTGGAGACGACATGCTGGAAACTGACTCACAGGAGCGAGATCTTGGGGTGGTAATCCAAGACGACCTCGGCTGTTCGGCGCAGTTGTTGAAGACCTGCAAAACTGCCAACCGACATGTTGGTCTGTTACGGAGGGTGTTCGGGAGTTTCGACCCTTCCATCTTCCCCCAAATGCTCAATTCGCATGTGAGGCCCGCGATCCAGCCTTGGTAAGCCTTGTTAAAACGCGACCTGGTTGAAATAGAGATCGCACGGCGACTGGCAACGAAAAATGTGAATGGGTTGTCCCATCTGCAATACCATAGACGACTAAATGCCCTGGGAACGTACAGCGGATGATATCGCCGTCTCCGAGGTGACTTCATCCTAACGTTCCAGATTTAGCAAAACATAGGTCACGCTTGCCGCTACCTCCTAAAGCGTAGCTGCAACACAGAGTTGTGGGGTCATAATATGAAACTTGCCACGCAATATCGTCGGCTGGAGTGTCGCCGGAATGATTTTTCCATTCGATTTTGTCAACCATGGAACGCTCTTTAGAGTTTTGTCATCATCGCGCCCACGTTACTCATTCTTAAAAATCGACTCGACGATGCTTTGCGTTATTTATAATAATTGATCTGATTTATATTCATTGAGGGACGAGAAGACGCAAACGAACATTGTGCTCACCAACCCCACGAAATCGAGGTAGTCAAATATACCTATGTGTTAACATGGATAATATGGTGAGTCTACGAATGTGTTTTTCACGTTTGTGTAACTTGATTGAACTAAGGTTATTCCCACCAACCATCCCACGGGACTTGTAAATTCTTGGCCTTTTGTCCGTATTATACCATTGTTCCACTGTTCCAAGTAAACAAGCTTTCGAATAGGTGACGGATCCCGGATCTCTGGGTTAATCTTTTTCTTACCAGGACAGTATGCCATGAAAACAACGCATACCATTTGCTGTAGTTCCTTGGAAGAGTTTGCAGTATACACGGTATAATTGGTTTGCAATATGTGGACCCAAATCGACCCCTGGTACTGCTTTAAAGCAATGATTGAAATTTTGTGCTCTTAGATCATATCAAGAAGTAAACAGTACATTCAGTTCACGTCGGATACTCATGTTGCGAAGATGCTAACAGAAGGGTCACAAGCAGCTTACAAACAAAGCGATATATTGGTGGGTGGGTCATTTTGAAGTACACATTGCATGATTTGATTGCGACTCTCAATCATTGACTGTGATAAGTATTGGAGCGAGTCTTGACAAATTGGATCGACTGCCTGCACCATTCGTGTTTCAGTGGATTAATTTGCTTGCTGCAACCAAGAGTTAAAATCTAGCGCAATTCGACGGATACATACTTCTGGTAAGTACTTCCAAGATGAAACAGTCGTCCTGATTTTTTTCAGCACGTATGACCGTGTCTGGGTCTGGGTTGGTTAACTTCTAGACACAGCAAAATCCCACTACTAGTCTCGAGGATGGCATGTCTTCATTCCACGAGGTATCCGCTAACCGTCATTGAGAAAGCGGATAGTAGTCCCTTGCTTGTACTTGTCAACCTGTATTTCTCCCTCTAAGCAATAAACGCACGCATCATTGTATATTTGGAAATGGTCATATTCCGCCTTACAGGTTGTGGTACCGACGGGTAAATCGACGACTTTCATTATTCCTTGTTTAAGTACAAGTAATTTTAGATCTTTTCTCATTGTGCTACTTCTTCTTTACGGTGAACTGAATAACCCTAGTCGGAAGTACGATAGGTGTCTAATCCGAACAGGGTTCCAACAGTGCGGTCGAAGCATCCCCTACCCCCTGTCAACCGACCACAAACTAAGTAAACTTCGCAACCAATCAGGCGCGAAATGAACACTGAGGATGGCGTATCATGTCACGGCTGTCACCCAATCGGTGCAGTGAACTAGTGCGCTGAAGGTGCATCACATGCGCGCCAACTTCACGTTTTCACACCCTAGCATCAATGAACATGCGTGAGTTCTCTGTGACTGTCCGTTGCTAACACGCTCCGTGATAGATGCGGGAAAGCAATCCGCTGATCACCGTAAAATTTATCTTGTTTTTCTGTGCAAATGACAACGGCTAGATTGATGGATTTACCAGACGGGGACTATCACATTGTGTATCAAAACTTAAAAAGTGATTTCAACAATTCTCAGGTACCAAGTGCAGAGTTGGAGTCACGCATGCCTAACCCGGAAGCATATGCTAACCCTGTTTTTACGCTATCGCAAAGGACAGGTACCTCTCCCTTGCTACCCTCGGTGGACCAAGAAACTTTTCATCACAAGTATCAACTCCTGCGAAGAAACCATCCAAATCGTGGAGCTTTCTGTGGTAAGTAAAGGAGACTGTAAAAGAGTTATGGTAACCTAGTTCTATGGCCATATTGTGCCACAGCCTCGTTTAGCAGTTAGCATTAACGAAGATAGGGTATGAACAACATGAATATACTAATTATTAGTTCAGGTATTACGTTAGATGTAAATAGGCAATTGAATTCGTTTAGTTATGGGTTTGTTTAGTATGGTATGGTGGTCCGGGCCCATGAGTAATATTTGACATTAGTGTTACGGTTAATCCGAGGCAACATGTTATTTGAATACGTTACTTCGTTAGTAGTTTTATGGGTAAATGTTTCTCCAAGAAAGACAAGGCAAGCGCAATGCTCTAAAGTGAACTATCATCAATATTGTGCTATGCCGTGCGGTTTCACACAAATTTTTTCCAAACCAAATTTGTGAATGTTGACATCATCATCATCATCATCATCATACACGTTAGCTAGAGGTGGGAAACACCTCAGCTACTGTGCCGCAATACAAAGAAAAGAGGAGAGAAAAAAACAACTGGTGAAAGCTGGCTGAGCTACCGGTAACGGATGGGCATCGCTCCGGTAAGCTACCAGCCGGCTTCTGTGCACCCAAAAAAATTATTATGCAAAATTATATAAGGCTAAGTAATGAGATCGTGGTTGGAGGGAGAGGCTAAGAGGGATGGGGTGGGACAAAGAAACTCACAGCACGAACGCCACTGAGGTCGGCTCCTAGCCATATCAGCAAGTGTGTCCAACCAAACGTGTTCATCGTCTTTCGGACCCCAACCAGGGAGCCGAGACGCTCCAACCGAGGCCAGCTTCGAAGTGAGGGTCTTCATTCCTCTGGACCAAGTCATCGCTTGGCCACCCCTCCTCTTCTTCCACCCACACCCCCGGCGCGCAAACAACACAGGTCGCGGAAGTCGGTAGGCTGGCATGCGTAACACGTGGCCGAGCCATCGGAGCCTGATGCGTGAAATAACGGTGCTGAGCGGTTCAGTTCCTTTTCCTGTGCCATAAACAAGGCGTCGAACACGCTCGTTGCTCACGCGGTGTTCCCACCAGATGTGACCCAAACTGCGAACGCACCGGTGGTCGAACGTAACTAGCCTCTTCAGGTCCGCCGCTTTAAGCGGCCAGGTTTCATAACCGTACAATAGGGTCGAATGTACTGCTGCATTGTACACTCTACCCTTCAGGGCAAGAGTGATGTCGCGCCGGCGCCATAAGTGGCGAAGGTTAGCAAAAGCGCCCAGAGCTTTTGCTATACGCTTCGTGATTTCATCTTCAATCCCACAGGCGCTGATACAACTTCCCAGGTAGTTGAATTTTTGAACGACTTCTAGCTGATCCCCACCAAGGGTCAGCGTAGGAGGCCGTCCAGACCAATCTTGGAGAAACGCTTTGCACTTCGAGGGTGCGAAGCAAAGCCCGAAGTGACCGACAGCTAGTGCTAATCTGTCCAGTGCCGCTTGGCACGTTTTTGAGCTGTCACAGATGAGGGTAATATCAGCAGCATACTCTAAAGCAAGAAGTCGTTCTCCTGGGAGTAGCTCCACACCTTCCAAGTCGTGTCCTGTGAACGCGATTTCCATGACTTCGTCAACAGCGAAGTTGAAGAGGAAAGGTGACAGCGGGCATCCTTGTCTCACGCCGCTGGAGATATTAAAGGGCGACGACAACTTGCCGTAAGCCCTCACTCTGCCCGAGCCACGAGCGTATAATGCTCGGATAATATTCACATATTTCTCAGGTACACCTTCCTGCGTGGACAGTCCCAAAGTGCATGTCTATCCACCGAATCGAATGCACCTTTGATATCGAGGAACACGACAACGGTGGGCCGCCAATATATGTGACGGTGCTCCAACAACTGACGCAAGGTGAAGATGTGGTCAATGCAGCTACGACCTCGACGAAATCCAGCTTGCTCTTCACGAATCTGGCTTTCACGAGTGCCAGTCAGTCTGCGAAGGATGACAGAGACAAGCAATTTGGAGGCGATGGAGATCAGACTGATTCCTCTATGGCTGCCGCATTCCGATCGTGAGCCTCCTTTGAAAATTGGGACTATGATGGAGCGGCTCCAATCGGTTGGGACAGTTTCCTGTTCCCACAGTCTCACTAGTAACTCGTGTAAATCATCCACAAGAGCAGGTCCCCGAATTTAAAAAGGGCTGGAGGAAGGTCATCAGGTCCCGCGGCTTTATTTAACTTCAACAGTTTGATCTCATGTTCGACTTCTGAGCGAGAGGGTGGATCCAAAGGAACAGCCCACGGAGCAGGGCGATCACTGGTCGGCGAGAAATCTAACAATTCCGACCGATTAAATTGCCTTTCAAAGTGCTCAGCCCAACGTTCCAGGCGTTTTGATAAATTGTGGATGGGCTGTCCACTCTCGTCACGTATAGTTTCACTAACACCAGGTCTCCTGCTGCCCGTTTCCCTTATAAGACAGAATAACTCACGATGGTTACCAAGGACAGCGGCCATTTCCATCTCTGTTGCACGACGAGACCACCAGGATTCGCGGTCTCTCTTCAGGCTAGCACGGAGTTTTGCCCTGAACGCTTTGCGAGTTTCATTGTGGTCACTTCCAGCCGGAATATGTCGGCGAGCATCTATAAGTTCCAAAGACTGTGAAGAGACCCAATGTTCATGTTGGCGATTAGACATACCACATGAGGATTTGCCTGCTGCTAGTAAGGCATGTTGCATATGAGACCAGTGAGCTTCAATTGCATCCAGTGAGCGTTTATCCAACTCGGATGACAGCGTAATTTGATAGGCGTTCAGAACAGCTGGATTCATCAGTCTGCCGGTGTCAATGCGCTCACAACCTCGTCGCAGGCGTCCGCCAAAGCGCATCCGCAGGTCAGCACATACAAGTGCATGATCGGTGTCCACACATGTGCTCCAAATCGAGCGACAGTTCTGGACGCAGCCTCTCCAGCGGTAACTGATAGCAATGTGATCGATTTGCGTCCATAGCTGGTTCGAGGCTGGTGGGCGCCAAGTCACCCTCCGGCGGGTGCTGTGTCGGAAAGTAGTGCTCGCAAGAAATAAGCGAGCTTCCTCACACAAATGAAGTAACCGCTCACCGTTATCATTACGGGAGCCTATACCATGTTGGCCGCTCAGATGCAGCTCATCTGTGGATAATTTTCCAACTTGAGCGTTCAGATCCCCAGCCAGCACTACAGTGTCCGAGCTTCTTCTGTGGCGAAGTTCGTTCAGTTGGCGATAGAAGTCGTCTTTTACCGAGTCATCGCTACAGTTTGTCGGTGCATAGGCAGCGATAACGAATAGACACCTGTTAGTCCCGCGCGACTTCGAAGTTTTGAACGAGCCAGCCAATCGGACCGCACACATCCGGCTACTGATTGGAATCCAATCAACCAGAGCAGCCTCAGCCCGGGGACTCAAGGCAATACCAACACCGGCTTGGCCGGTGCTCGAAGCTGCATCGTCACCGGATAGGCGCAATGAGAAGGTGCTGTTAGTGTCACCTGAAGGGGATCGCAGAGTGAGTACAGAGCTCGAGTCTTGCAGGCGGGTCTCCGATAAGCAGCAGATATCGATCGAGAGGGTCTCCAATGTTCGGGCAAGTGCTGCCTGTTGACCAATCTGAAGCAATGTGTGAACATTGAGGCATGCCAGTCTGAAGGAGGATCGAGGGCTCCAAATGGAAGCCGATGAACTGGAATGGGCCGCTTGCTTGGACATGGGCCTGTTGACAGTGCAGGAATGACGCTCTGCGTTCACCTGTGAGTTGAAACTAAAAGACAAGCGACTATTGAAGCAAGGTGGGGGAGGGCCGAGAATTGGGGGGTTGAAAACAGGGGGGATAAAAGTAAAGCTGGAACTGGACGATAAGGGTGAAAAAGCGCAAGAAGGGGAATAAGAAGATGGGAAGGCCTGAGCAGTAGCATCCAAACCCCTATCCACCCTGCTCGATGCAGCAGATAGGGCACCGTTGATTATCCTCTGCGGTGGCCAGAGCATCAGAAATTTGTTTGGGGAAGGATTCATTGTATTGCGTGGGCAGGATACTGTCAGGTTGCTCAGGCCTAGACAGGAGAACGATTAGGGTTCTCAGCCAAAGCCTTTGGTTCAAAAACCTGGCCGCAAGGCAGCGGGTTTGGCATTGGACTACAAGGAGTCCGTTTTAAGGAATAAGGAGCCACCCTCATTCCAACCCCCAACCTGGAGGACCAGGAGGCTGAGTTTGTCTGGCCTCTAACCATTGACCAATCTGGTATGAGTGGCTCTGAAGCACAAAAGCACCACCCAGTATAGCTCAATGGATCACTGAGGCACGCAAACCATCGCACCACGGTAAGGTCCAGCCTCATTGCGATGGTGTGAATGTTGACGCGATACATTTTAAATAATTATATGAAGCTATTGACGTTAACGCCATAGGTTACATTTGGCTACGCATATCATGAGTGAACTCTGATTTTAACTTGTCGTGTGATACGGATTTTCGATAAAACTGCTAGTGTGTCGCCGCTGATGCTTTCACCCCATGACCGCAAAAAGAAGTCCAAAGACGAGCCAGAAAGAGACTTGCATACATGAAATCACATTTGCTTATATAGTTTTGAAGGTAAAATGAAGAGAAGCTGCTAAATTACACGTGAGCCAACCAACAGAAGGAAAACGTCAAGCAACGGTGTACTCAAGAGCGAAGCGCATGTCCTTAAAAATAGCATCATGAGACTCCGAGAGTAAAACGAACATCCATTTAAAGTGACGGGCACTGGCCAATCAGAATAACGAAATGAAGCGTTTAAACAAATGTCACGACACAAACGAGAATAAGAAATGCAGACCCAAAAATCAAAACTAGTACAAAAATCGTGTGACAGCTAAATAGTCCTTTAACATGACCAAGTAGAACAGTGATGAGGAGAAAAACCAATGGAATATGTTCGTGCAAATGACACTGCTGGAAAGGACACAACGATGAGCGTCCATTAACAATGACGTGTGTGGACCAATCGGGCTAACTCAG